TCGTTATATATACAAAGGTGATTATCGGAAATAAATTCCTCAAGGATTTTACCTTTAGTATTAGTATGGTCACTTCCCCAAAGCGGGTTGTGACCGTTCAGATCTCCCATGATGAGACATGGCTTCGGAAGCTGATCATATAGATTCTTAAGATCTGACAGTCGAATATCAGAAGACGGGGGGATATACAAGCTACACAACGTGAGTGCCATGTGCAGTGTAATACGAACAGCTACAGTTTGGAGATTGGTATTAAGAGGGACAGGGCTATGTATGATACCCTGTCGTACCAAAATGGATGCACCTCCTGTTGCTTTATCCCCCGGAGGTGAAAAAGAGTGATAATCACTATACTGTCTTAAATTAAAGTTATCTGTATTTTTTAAATACGTCTCTTGTAGACATAATGTTGAAGGTTTAAAATCTTGTATTAATAATTGTATTTCATTAAAGTTATTTTTTAGTCCTCTGCAGTTCCATTGCATTAAGGTCGACAATTGAGTCATGGTGGCTCAATTGGCGATCGTTCACGGGGAATGTGAGGAGGAACTATTTCTCCTCTTGTCCTGTGAGGACAGTGTAATCTCCATATCAAGAGGCCCGAATGAGTTCTGTGTTGGAACCTCTGAAGGTGAAGGGACAGTAGGTAGTTTGTCTCTTGGTAAGTGCTTTCCTTTCTTCTTTTTATAATGATTGCTCGCTGGTTTTGATACAGACTTTTCTGATGGTGTCTCGGGATCAGTTTCATCTGTCTGAGAACTAGACGAAGATTGAGTTACTGTTGTAGTTGGTTTTGGGGCTGAAGTTGAAGGAATAGGTTGAGCTGACTTGACCCAAGTCAAGTCAGTCTGACATGCAGTAGAGGACATTTCTGCAGAACGAGTGACAGCAGCAGAGTATGAAACAGTTGACGGAGCTGAGGAATGATGACTCCATAGTTTTTTTGGCATCAAAGTACGAGATGTGTTTTTCAGTTTTAATCTTCATGATTTGTGACTCCCTTTGATAGACAGGGCAGGACTTGGATGACGCAGAATGTGGACCGTTACAGTTGACACATTTATAATCCTTCTGACAGTTGGTAGTATTCTCATGGTTGTCACCACAACGGTGACACACGACAGAGTTTCGACATGACTGTGAGCCATGACCGAAATGTTGACATTTGTAACATCGGAGCGGATTGGGGACATACACATCCACTCCGATGTTAAAATAACCTGCTTTAATAGAGTTTGGAAGGGAAGATCGAGAAAAGGTCACCAGATAGGTGTTCGTTTTAGTGATGATGCCCTCTTTCTTAAAAGTGAAACGTTTTACCGCCGTGACACCTTGATTTTCAAGCTCTGCAGCTATGTCCTCTTCTGACATATCATAGAGACAACGAGCCCGGTCTCGTATGATACCTCGGCAAGAGTTTAACGTTCTGTGCACGGACACAGCAACCTCGATATTGGCAAAAATCTTGACTGACAACAAATTGAGAGATTGATGTCTCCGTGCACACTCCACGAGAAGCGATCCACTACGAAGACGGGTAACATTTTGTACCTCTCCACAAATTCCGGAAATAGCCTTGGAAATGGCAAACGGGTTTAATTTGATCGGCAGAAAGTCTGTAGCTTCAATCACTAGAAACCGAGGCCATGAATCAACATTTGAAGGATTTGTTTCATTTGAACGATCTAGTTCGTCTAGTCTTCTCTTTTTTTCATTGCGATTTGAACCAGTTTGTTGGGTTGACATGATGAAAGGAAAAAAGATTCAGCACCCCTGTTCCCCACCCACCATGGAGTGTCAACAAGGACGATGTCAAATAGCACCGGATCTCCAAGATGCCGACACCAGGGATACAGGGATGTTATACTCCAGCGAGTATGACACAAATAGCAATATTTGTATACCAATTAAATATCAGGCTGGTTCTTGCACATGACAAGAAATTGGACACATACTGAATTTGGAGGTCAACATCACCAGATTGGCCCATGAGCCACCGCCTTCTGGCACAGGACTCTAGGCATTGTAATATATTGATAATTTGTTAATTGGAAATTGAAAAAGCCAACACCCTAATATGACTAAAATGTGCAAAAAAATATTCACTATGCACAGGGCATGGCGTGACCAGCCGATTGGTAGAACCGGGCCAGTTCTACCACCCGTCTAGGTGAAGTAAGGGCCAAAGTGGTGTGTTGGGCAACAGGAACACGGTTCTAGGATCCTATTGCCCTCAACCACCAGAATCCCGTCCTCCACCGACACAGGGGCGCAACCCACGGCAAACGGGTTGGTGGACCAAAATATCCCCCCCGGGTCCACAACGGGGGGTTGAAAGGCGCTTAGCGTGACCCAGCACCCACCACGAGGAGGTGGCCTTTCATGGGTGCCGTATGTCAAGGTGTATACATGTGTGCAGATTCATGTCAGTGTGTAGGTATGTGTCAGTGTGTAGATGTGTGTACAGATGTGTGTGGATATGTGTCAATGTGTTGATGTCTGCCAGTGTATGTGTAAATGTGTGTCAGTGTGTGCAGATGTGTGTCACTTTATGTACACTTTTGTAGATAGGCGTCAGTGTGTTGATGTGTGTCAGTGTATGTACGTACATGTGTGTCAGTTTGTGTACGTATGTGTTGATGTGTGTCAGTGTGTGTATAGATGATTGTCAGTGTATGTAAATTTGTGTCACTGTCAGTGTGTGTACATATTTGTCAGTGTGTACATGTGTGTTTATATGTGTCAGTGTGTAAAGATGTGTATCAGTGTGTCGATGTGCGTCCGTGTGTTTAGATGTGTCAGTGTGTGTATACGTACATGTGTGTCATTGTGTGTAGATGTGTTTCAGTGTGTTTATGTGCGTCAGTGTGTGTTGATAGGTAAGTGTGTGTATATGTATGTGTGTGTTGATGTGTGACATTTGTTAGTGTGTGTTGATGTTTGAAGATGTGTTTCAGTGTGTACATGTGTGTAAATGGTTCTTAATATGTGTAGATGTGTATTCGTGTATACGTGTCAGTGTTTATCAGTGTGTGTTGATGTTAGTAGTTGTGTGTCAGTGTGTATATGTGTCTCAGGGTGTGTTCATGTGTGTTAGAGATTGTATATGTGTGTAGGTGTGTGTCAGTGTATCCAGCTGTTTGCTAGTGTGTATTAATGTGTCACAGTGTGTATATGTGTCAGCCCGTTGTTGCCTGTAGATGTGTCGGTGTCTTTTGGTTTGTATAGATCTGCGTGCATGATTTAAGACGTGTGTAGTGGTATGTTTAAATGCCTGATTAAAATTTCACTTAAGATTAGTGTTTTGGGTTGTTATCAAGCTGCCAAATCCAATTATCTTCATACAGTGGTCGGGCCGTTGGAAGGAGGTGATCATTTGAGATGGCAACATGTCGTTCCTTCATCAAATTTCAAGTGAAAATACACAACGGCGTCACTCCACGTGATGATATCCCACCCCACATGTGACATTTCAGGCTGTTTTGGGCGTTGCTACATAGGTTTCAGAGTGTCGTTTGTCCAAATTTTCTCACAGTTCGGAAAAAGCCAGACAGAACTTTCATCAGAAAAGAAAACATTATCCCAATCTTGATTTTCGTGAGTCGTACACCAGTTTAAACCTCTTTCTTTTTGCGCATCTTTCATCAATGGTGAGGGAATTCCACACTTTTTACCCAGTTGAGTTTTAATAATTCTTGTCTAAGGGTATCATTACATACCTGAGGACTTCCTCTATTAATCATCTCATTCTGATATTCTCAGCGTTTTTCAATTTTCCCCTACACACAATCTCACCAAGTCGCCGGCGATCCGTAGTTCTGAACTTCCTTGGCCTCCCTGGCCCTGTCTTGTGGTCATTCCCAACTCTTGCCTAGATATTCTTCAAAGTTCTGCATACTGTAGACAGAGGGGTGTCATGTCTACCAGCTAACTCTTTGCATTAGTCACACCCTTTCAAAATGACCTTGACCCAGCTTTCTGTTCTCTTCTGCTCTCAAATCTGCCATGTCGTCTGCTACACAAGAGGAGATAACTCTTGATGTAGTAAGGTTCATTCTTAAGCCTACAAAGTTGCATCCCATATTGAGTACCTTACTACATAATGTAACACTTATTTTAGAATTCTATTATCAGTATTAGGAAACACAGATTTTTCTCAATAATTTTTGGGAAAACTGTAAGTGTTTCACATGTTATAGGCCAGCATGGTCAAAAGGCATTTGGTCCCAAATAAGATTACAGCTAGGGATTTATTATATTCTTGTTGAATTGCTTGTAATATATATATTGACCTTTAATGCAGCAAAAACGACAACGTTCAGATCAGACGTTTATGTATACATTGTAGTATCATTAAGAAAAGCAAGTATTCTATACTACCTATATTTATGCATTTGATATTTTCGAAATTTCTTATCTGTGTTTCGAGTATTTCGGCACGTAAGAAGAATATATGGGGCGAAAGGGGATAGCCTTATCGACCCCCTCCAGGAATATCAAACATATCAATACCATAGCCATTTACAAGTACAGTAGATTGAATTCCCCGACGGTAATTATAAATCACTTATGCTTTACGTATTAAGGCACACAAAAGGTTATGTTTTGTCTGTAAATGTCCAGTATCGACATGCGGTTATCAAACCTATGTTACACCCGAAAGAGCGTATTGAAAAACATCGACCCAAACATTCTACAGGTTCCCACTCGATCCTGTGGATCCAAGGTGTGCAGTGAGACGTCTCAATTGTGTGGAGGATGGATGTGGAATGGTCTGTCAGGAACGTAGGTCTTTTATCAGAAAGGTGTACGTTGTTTCTCCCAGTGTGTGGAGGATGGATGTGGAATGGTCTGTCTGGAAGGTAGGTCTTTTATCAGAAAGGTGTACGTTGTTTCTCCCAGTGTGTGCAAGATGGATGTGGAATTGTCTGTCAGGAAGGTAGGTCTTTTATCAGAAAGGTGTACGTTGTTTCTCCCAGTGTGTGGAGGATGGATGTGGAATGGCCTCTCAGGAAGGTAGGTCTTTTATCAGAAAGGTGTACGTTGTTTCTCCCAGTGTGTGGAAGATGGATTTGGAATGGTCTGTCAGGAAGGTAGGTCTTTTATCAGAAAGGTGTACGTTGTTTCTCCCAGTGCGTGGAGGATGCATGTGAAATGGTCTGTCAGGAAGGTAGATGTTTTATCAGAAAAGTGTACGGTGTTTCTCCCAAAGTGTGGAGGAAAGAAAGTGTGGTACATAGAAAGGCACATACATATTCTGTTACATTATGTGCTGGGAATTAAGAACTGAGTTCCAGATTATGGAATCACAATAAAATGCAAGCGCTGCATTATCGTATGATAAAGTCATCACAGTCACAACGCTGGTGATATTATATTCCATATTCTATGTTTACACTAACTGAAACACATGATGAACATAAATCGATATCAACTAGTTTCATTTTAAGCAACTCTCTTTGTGTAAATGGTTTTATATAAAAATTTATATTGAAACTCGAGGAGTTTTGTATCTTGGTCAGATTGTCTATATTGTAGAAATATGGTCTTCCAGTTTATATTATCATTCAATTCGCTGTCCCATTTATCACAGACTTTAGGAAAATTATTTTCAGATATGAAGTGATCATAAAATCACCTTCAGATATGAAACATATTGACAATTTTGATTTAGTTGTTCGTATAATTTTCAATTTTGGGGAATACTGAGAAGAACACGATTTAGATCAAGAACCCTACCCCTAACATCAAATTTTGATTTAAGTTCTGAAAATGTTAGGAAATCAGGGTCTTTACAAATATCCTAAATGTGTACTATTCCTTTTGGGACCAGTTAAATATAATCAAATTAGGGTGAGTACACAGGTGATATAGCCAAATAGGTTCCATAAGAATTTCATTTATATCGTTGTTCCATTCATAGCCTGTAATATATCTATTCCATGCATTGAGTGCATCTTTCCAAAACGGGTTTTCGATTTTGTATTGTTTACTAATATTTGAACCTAATTGAAGAATGTCTTTTAATATAAGGGGAAACCAGCTAAACTATAGCAATTAGACTCTGACACGTATCTTCTTAAACATGCAATATTTTTGTCAACCAATAACTGTTTTGACATCAACCATTTTTATACCATCAACTTCATTTTTGCGCATTAAATTAATTCGCTTTATCTTGTCGTTCTTATCAATCCATATGAATAGAAATGATTAATTATTCAGTTTTGTTATGAAATCATTCAGATGATTGGGAAGAGATCTGAGAACATGAACTAGGACTGCGCAATACAACCGGTTTACCGGTATTTACCGGTTCAGACATGAAATGGATACGTATTACTATACCCGGATCGAAAACCGGATTTTCGACATGCATTCGGAAAACTTCGCAAAACTCGGAAATCTTCGGATATTTCCGTTTTTCACACCGGAAATCAAGTTAGGTTCGGTTTGAAGTTGTGTTCTTAATTTTTGTTCCAGTGTTTCGCAATGTTTTGGATCTGAATGTTATATATATATGTACTCATTATTGACCAGTGATCCTTTCATATGTCCTGACCAGGTCAAGTTGCTGTCTAAAATCTCAGGGCTTTTTCGAGAGTGGAGAAACTAGTTCAAACTAGTAACCACTGTGTTGATGTTAAATTCTTCTTTTTCTTGTTTCCTTCATTTTAACATGATTAAAAGTTTTTATTAAAGCTTTATCAAGCATAGTGATTTTGTTGTGTTTTTGCTTTCATAAATCAAGCATTAACTCGATTATAAGTAACTTTTTTGATGAAAAATAAATTCTTGCAATATATTGCAATACGTATGGCAATATATGTTTTCGAATCGCAGTATATCGCAAAATGAACTATATTTTCCCGTTTTATCCAGTTCAAAAGAATTCTTTTGATATGTTCAAGTCTCTTCTTTGTATTGATCACCCACTCGCCCACTGCGCTAAGGTGTGCACGCGAAGCACGTGTGTGTTTCAGTGAATTCAGATATTATTTTTGTTTTGATATTGATTTACTAAACGTAATAAGTACTTTACTTATTTGGTCTCTGGATTTCCGAATCACGTTCCTGATGTTTTTTACTTATTAGAAAGCACGGCGTACATGTATGCTGTGACATTTGATTTACTCTCCTGGATAGAATTATCTAATTACGGTTTGAGTTGATTCTTAAATTTGTCATAAAGAAGATTCGAAATATCGTCTTGGTATGTTATATACCTGATTTCCTTAGTTTCTTTTTCTCTATGGGGATGCGGGGCCTTTACCTATCTGTAGACATAGTCCATGGTAAAACAGATATTGCTTTGTTTTTATCTTTTTTGTCCTTTATTATAATTAAACATAAAACCTTCACTTGGACACAACAACATTCATGTTCAGTTAAATAAAAACTGAGTGGGCTTTTGCCTGTATCATGGCTCCCTTTAAGTCAAACTCATGAGGAGTAGCTATCCTTCTAAACATTTTGAAAATGAAATACATAAGATATGTAAAGATGAAAATGAATGATTAATTTCCCAATATTCTCCTTTAATAGTTGAATAAGTATTTAGAGGTGGATATTTCGGCATTTCTGACAACAGTTATTGTATATGACAATAAGTTATCTTGAGATAAAATTCTTTTAAGACAATGTTTTTAATTGCCAAATGTATGACCTTCCTATAGAAAACCAAATCCATAATAGAATAAAGTATTGCTAACATAATATACACAACTATTCAGGTTAACATGTACGTATTCTTGTATACCAAGCTGCAAATACCGACATGAATAATTCTCTTTCATCAGTAACAACTTTCTGCATCGTGTGTGTATGTCTAATCACACTGAAACTGAATACGGACTTGCAAGTCATGAAGGTAGCATAACTCTATTGTATGTATGTATCCAGGATACGAATAAGAACGAATAGATGACAAGAGTTTCGAGCTAAAGAAGTACAGAAAGTGTCGAAAGATAGAAATATTCTTAAGCATGAAATATGGACTGGGAAAATTTTCACCATTTCTCAGAGAATCTTGAGGGGCGAACTACCAGAGTCAAGGACTACAACCATGACGAAACCCAGGGCACCTTCTACCAGTCCGACTTACAGGAAATAAATGTCTGAGAAAACGATACTTGGAAGGTTTTAAAGAGCAGAGCAAAAGGCCCTAACACCAATATTTTCTTAAATGGTTACACTTGCCTAAGAAGTTTAATTCATGGGTTTAAGCTAGTGGTGTAGAGAGATTGTAAAGTGTATTTGTAAATTGTAGAGACATCTGTACATATGTTGTAATTGTGGTTTGGGGTGACTTCTCCGACCAATGTCCACTCGGCATGCACGGGGATATAAGATATGTTCATCGAGTTGTGTATTGTCGCTGTGTATGTTGCTCCTTAGATCTGCATTACAGATCCCATTTCACAAATGAACGACTTAGGGTTGTTTTTAACATGGTGTACGCTCACACTATAAAGAACGCTATCCTGGTGAGCTTGAACCTAGTTTCTCGCATGCATGGACGCGGGGAGGAATATAGACTGTTATTTAGAGAAGGGAATGAGTACAGACTGTTAGTGTTGAGAAAGGAATGAGTAAATACTATTTTGGATGACAAGGTTTCCCGCCAGTATTAGAAGACCGAAAATTTCAAAACTGTACCATCCTAACTGCTGTCTAAAATGTGTATAGACATAATCATTGTGTTACAGCACTACCACTGTGTGACCTCCACAACGCCTCAAAGATCGGGGACTTATCAAGGGTGAACGTCATCTTGTCCCAGGGACGGGCCAACATAGACTGTCAAGAGTGGATTGGTAGAACACCCGTGATATGGGCGGCTCTTAAGGGATATAGAGAAGTGGTTGAGTTACTTGTGACTAAAGGAGCCAACGTGAAACTTACTGATAGATTCGGTATCAACATCCTTCACTCAGCCTGTCTAGGAGGAGATGTAGATGTGGTGAAGTATTTCCACTCACATGACATGGCGGACATCGATAGTAGAGCACAGTGCAAAAGAACACCTATGATGCTGGCAGCAGAGAACGGACATAAAGAAGTCGTAGAGTTACTTGTGGGTGAAGGAGCTGACATGTCACTTGTGGATAAACAACATGATAACATCTTTAACTGTGCCATTAGGGGAGGACATGTGAAGGTAATGAAGCACATTGTCTCACAGAACAAGGTGGGCATCAACAGTAGAGGATGGAAGAAGAAGACACCAGTGATGGTGGCAGCAGAAATGGGGGGAAAGGATGTGGTGGAGTTTCTCATGGAACTTGGAGCTGATTTGTCACTCGTATGACGGTGGTAGCAACATACTTCACATGGCCAGTTGGAGAGGACATCTGGATGTAGTGAAGTACATTGTCTCACAGAACAAGGTGGACATCAACAGTAGAGGATCGAGGAAGAAGACACCAGTGATGGTGGCAGCAGCAGAAGGACATAAGGACGTGGTGGAGTTTCTGGTGAATCATGGAGCTGATTTGTCACTCGTATATAGCAGTGGTAGCAGCACACTTCACATAGCCAGTCTCGGAGGACATCTGGAGGTAGTGAAGTATAGTGTCTCAGAGAACAAGGTGGACATCAACAGTAGAGGATGGAGGATGAAGACACCAGTGATGGTGGCAGCAGAAATGGGGAAAAAGGATGTGGTGGAGTTTCTCGTGGAGCACGGAGCTGATTTGTCACTCGTATATGACGGTGGTAGCAGCACACTTCACCTGGCCAGTGCTGAAGGACATCTGGAGGTGGTCAAATACGTTGTATCAAAGTACAAGTTGAACATCAACAGTAGAGGATGGAAGAAGAAGACACCAGTGATGGTGGCAGCAGAAATGGGGGAAAAGGACGTGGTGGAGTTTCTGGTGGAGCACGGAGCTGATTTGTCACTCGTATATGACGGTGGTAGCAACATCCTTTACTTGGCATGCAATGGAGGGCATCTGGAGGTGGTGAAGTATATTGTCTCACAGAACAAGGTGGACATCAACAGTAGAGGATCGAAAAGAAGACACCAGTGATGGTGGCAGCGGAAAAGGGACATAAGAAAGTGGTGGAGTTTCTCGTCAGAATAGGAGCAGATGCATAACTAGTGGCTTAAAGAGGTAATAACCTTCGTCATGGCTTGCCGAGAGGGGACGGCAGTTATAGTGAACATATTATGTGATAGAGGATTTTGATCATCGAGGCTTGGAACAAAACTCAGCAGTCAACAAAGTGGCATATTGGGACAAGGAGTAGTATTAGTAAGGGATGTTCTGGACCACTTCCGGTCCTGGCGTTACTTATGGCTAATGAAGGTCCCAGCATTCATTTACAAATGACGGTGGATGAGTGGGGACATCTAATGATGTCTCTGCATGAAAGATAAAAATTTTAATTACGAATACACATTGACATCGAGGAAACAATTCAACGTTATTCTCCTATGATTTCTTTGGTTTTGGTAAGGAATGATTGACGGACTTGTTCTATGAGTTTTTTCTCTTCTTCGCTAATGCCACAGGTTTTACGAGACTTTGTTCGAATCTCTTGTTTCATCGCATTATCTTTCGTGAGTTCCATCATCACTAAACGAAACTATTCTTCAGTTATCTTACTATCGGAGAGTGCCGTCGAGATATGATCCTCGATAGTATTTAACTTCACTTTCGGCCAGAATACTTCAATGCCTTCTTTTGCAATCAATGTTGAATAAAAATATGAGCAATTCCTGCTAACCCTGAGACTCCCGACGCTATTTCCATAACTAGCACGACAAAATCGGCGATGATAGTCGACAATAGACTGACATTGGCCGCGCTGAGTCCCATGGTGAGTGCAGTGTCCATGCCGTCTATAGCATTAACGGCTCTGTTGTAATTTTTTTGTAATCCGAGTCGTATATCACGCTCCTTTTTTAGTTGGTGTTTTATGTCCACTGTTTTCAATTTTTCAACCACTTCATCTATGGCAGGGTACAATCCTATCTTATAATATAGGTTATGAAATAACTTTCAATTGATTATCAGTCAATCTTTTTTAATGAGAATACCTTAAGCTGATGAAGTACATATGTTTGGATAAATAAAAAAATCCTGAGTGAAATGGGACACTTCATATTTTGAAAAACCATGACCCCATCGAGGCTTGTAGAGGGGGACTGTTCCTCGTTGTACATAAATACGACATTGTTTATATTTATTGTTATCACTCCAGTGTATTTTTAACCCATCCAGAAGTTTTGCATCTTCTGCGGGGGAATTACAAGAAAGAGTTCAATGATAAGTGTAGAGCCTTGTACAACATTTACCTACAAATCTGGAAATTGAAAAAAGTTGCTAAATTGTAAATTTAACCATTCATTTCTGTTTTCCGGGTGGGTGGTTAACATATTGCTTGTTTTATCTGGTGGTTCTGTTACAAACGTTGTCTTTGGTAAAGGATAATAGCCCCGAGTATAATCCCATTATTTTATATTTCGGTGACAAACCCATATATGGGTATGAAAGGGTGATATTGATTAACCAGTCCAATTAAGATTTGAGTATCACTTCTTTTCCTCTACAAACATTGTTTCGTAAGGGCAAGCTGTATAATGCATTTTCCGTACCAGTTTATCGAATCCTTGCATGTCCCAGAGATCGGAGATCGCGATGGTAGCACATTTCCTCGGGTGTTGCATTCCTGGACCAGAAGCTTCGACCATGATAATGCTAGTCTTCAATTGACTTTCTGACAATTTCTCGTGTGTAAACTTTAAGCAGATTAGATGGATATTATTAGGTAAAAATATCTTAGCGAGCGAAATTTTTCTATCCAAGGTAATGGTGAACCCCTCGAGACTTGCGTAAGAATTTGTTTCTGCCTGCATATAAATCACGCATACACCGTTACAATTTCAACATCTTCGCTTGCTGATGCCTCCCCAAGCAAGACTTTGATACAGAGCATAAATATGATGGTATCATTTCTAAGATAGTTGACATTTTGTAAACTAGTATTTGAGACATTCGGTCAACTCACCAGCATATGACCTGCTTTATCCGGTATCGTACTCACGAGCACACTCTTTCTTTGCGATGGAATGTAAGATAGGAATCCCATTATTAATGACTTTCATTAAATAATGGTCCTTATTCTTTGTACGCACATAGGATGCAACGAGGGTGAAATTGAGTAGCCAGTCGATTTTGGGTGAGATCATCTTCCATTGGTTATCATATGTACGGATGAGATTGTACAAGGTGTTTTTTTAAGGTATTGTATTCAGTGTTGTATAGGTGTCCCTCTGTCTCGACATCGTTTAAATCTCCTAGGCTACCACCACCGCCACCAGAGTCAGTCACTTCTTTTCGCTTGTAAATGTTGTTTTTAACTCCAAGGCATATAACTTGGCTTCAACACTGGGTTCTTCGAATCCTCGCGTGTCCCCGAGATCGGAGAGCGCTATGGTGGTGCATTTTATAACACGATGCATTCCAGGTCCTGTTCAAAGCGTTCATTGTTCTTAATATGCAGCGTCATGCTTAGATATCCTATACGTACACGTTGGTGTTTTATGTCTTTAGTTCCAGGATCATACCCTGCGTTATCTTTTTGTAATGTAATAACGGGAAGATTTAGTTATACCGCTGTTGTACGTTTCATCTTTGACCGCAGCGTTTCTCAACAGAGTTGAAGGACGTTTGCCTTGAATATTATCCGTTGGACTAATCTGATCCAGATGAATGCACAGCTCTTAATAGGGAACTATATCCGGTAATTTTGAACCAGTCATTGTTTTTGGGGGGTAATACTTCATTTGATGTTAACCCAAGTGTCTCTTGCTAAGGGCCTACCCAGTTTTAAGGGATGTTTTTCACTGGTTAATGTAAGCTTTCCATCCGACTCGTTCGGTGTGAGGCTGGCTCATTGAGGTTTAAAGATTTTCTCGTTCAGCAAACAAACTAGGAGTGTTCTATCCTAAAATTAATAATGTAAGTGCTGCTGATCTCATGCAACCAACGATCATGGTCGATGTTGGTGGTTCCCATTTCCGAGCTCAGTTTATCGAAATATATATATATTAAAATATTAGGTTTCCTGTTATGAATGTGAATACTGGACAGGCTTGGTTTTCAGATCAGAACAGAACAAACTTTTATTTCAGTAACAGGCCTCCGGCCTAAAGTACACATACATAAATTGATGGATAATTGGAGCACATATAATGTATTTCATTTAGATTTGTGTTTCTTGTCAACAAAATATAAAGATAGACATACATCCTTGATGATATTAACATTTTTTACTCTCTAATATAGATATAAAATTAATAATTGATGGACTTTTAGCAAAATATTTTGATATGTACTCAGACATGGGGTAATTGTATTAACTTTAATTGAATGTAATTAATTACAAAAATCTATGTAATTGCATGTAATTTCTAATTGAATGTTTAAAATGCAACTTGTAACTGTAATTTAATATCTCAATGTAATTGAATTTTTCAATTACTTTCTCAATTACATCAAATTACATCTCAATTTTATATTTTGGTGGTCATCAGGCAACCCTTGCAATAATATTCTGTACAATAAGGAGGACAAAGCAGTGTTTTTCAATAAGATGCTTGTTTTCGGTATATACTCTAGCAGGTGTTAAGTTTTGAAAGAGATTTGAATGTCTAAGCCTTTGTAACTATCACCATCTGCACATTTGTGAAACAAAGGGAATCAGTAACGCATGACTGAATGTAGGTCGGTATTTGAGGAAATGAGGGATTAACAATACTATTAGTGAAGTTCCTATCAAAATGGCCTCTTTGTTTATTTCTCATAGGATATGATATTCAAAATCTTACTGGACTGTAGTCCTATTTTTATAATCATGAAAGGTAATAAGCCATAAATCCAATTTGACAAATCCTTTAGTATGTTAATGTGGATTATGTCAGATAGAGAGACCGGTTGATTATATATTGTAATGTAGGCCTGTAATGATGTCATGATACAGTACACCTAAGGTAACAGTGGTGGACAAAGTGTTTTTTGCAACAAGAGATGATAGAGGTGTGTATTTGATAATAAGCCCAAAGAAATAAGCAAAATACAAATTTGATCAAATAGTGTACATTGTAGATATAATCTAATTTTGCATTTCACTTTTTGACGAAAAAAATATGAATTGGATTTAGTGACCACTGTTTACCAACATCGATATCTTGTTGACTAAAGGAATACAGAAATATATTTGTTTTGTTTTTGTTTTGTTTTTGTAACAAAGTAATTTGTAATGTAATTAATTACATTGGTAATGTAATTGTAATTTAATTAATGACATTTTAATTTAAGGTGTAATTGTATTTGTAATTGTAATTGAGGAAAATCAAAGTAATTGTAATTTAATTAATTACATTTCAAAGTAATTGAACCCATGTCTGTATGTACTTGGTTTTCAAACCCGATGCAATTCTAGCAAAATCAATTCAACTTTGCCATGTGGTGGGCGACAACTGGTTGTGGCGTGACCTTGACCGACACTCGTCGCAATGAACTGAGTCAGTCCATATTCTCGTTTCATAATTTCTACCAGATCAGGCCTATCCTGAGAGAAATCAGCACACCGCTTCCACAGTACAAGGCGTGAGATACGATAACAATCCGTACCATCGGCGTGTACACGTACGTATTTGTGATGAATTTGAAATTAGTACAAACACAGACTGGTGAGAGTGAATCATGGTTTGGTTGGGCGGTCCCATCGGTAACAATATGTCCCTCGTAGAAGCCAGCAAAAGGCTGAAAGACTGGTTGTAAGACGTATGCGAATGCTGACGTCAAGACGAATGGGTGGAGGGAGAATCTTATGGCTATAGATGATAGTAAGTATTATAGCGTTTGGAGGTTTCAGCAGGAACCCATAGACAATTGGAAACAAATTATGTTAGATGTGTTGAAATGGTTTCATCATGCGGGTGTCGTAAGACTGAACAATTCGATTCGAACTATGTGTGGGCTATTCTGTGGGCGCAGGCGCAAACACTTTCCAGTATTAT